GCTTGTAATAAGCATTGGTGTGCATTTTTTGGGGCTCCATTATAGAAGTTTTGAGATCTATGGGGGAAGATGAGAAGGATTTTTCTTAGTACAAACGCAACCTGTAATTTGTTCAGAAGGGGTAACATAAGGCTTCATGTCGCTAAGGTGGGCACTTTTTTTCATTTTTCCCATCTAATCTACGAACTCTAGCGATAACAGGGGAGATGAAACTAAGGACCATCGAATTTTTTTCGAATTTCTCCCCAATATTCGGAGTCCACTCGCATCGTCTAAGGTTGGCCAAATTTCTTTTTACAACCTGAAATATTTCCTGGAGTTCAATTGCTCTCTGCGATGGCTCCACGACCCGAGCGCCAGACCCGGTGGTGACGTCGATGATTGCCTGCATGGCTGGGTTCCGAGGTGCATACCTGAGTTTGAATGGCCAGTCATCCTTCATAAAAATCTTGTGCGTGGAAATCGTGGAGGGGCAGATAAGACCGGCGCACGTTACACGGGCTTCAACTTCTGTTAAAAAGTTTAGGCCAATAATCAAATCTTCCGCATTCTAATTCGTCGGTTGCCGAAAGTAAAAAGACTACCTACAACTTCCAAAACTTGGCGTTGTGAGCCATCCGCCAAGGTGACTGTTGCGAGCTTTTGGAACACTCGAGGACTCGTTCTGAAGACTTGCTGCTAATTTCTCACTGATGAAACTGCTCGTTGCACCGGTGTCAACTGTGTCATGGATATATCGGCCGGCTATAATTATTGATGCCACAAGTCTTGTACGCACCTTTCTCTACACTTGGTGTAGGCGCCGAAGTAATGGAGATGCTGGGTGTTTTCATTGGGGTGAGGAATTTGGCACAGCAGTAGAGCAAACCTTCTTCGGAGTTCGTCGAATGTTCCTGTTGTTTGACATCCAAATTCCTCCAAATACGTCAATAATTTCTCCTACGCAGCGTATACGCCCATGAGACACGTAATGAGGGCACCATTATGTAAATAAACAAATATAACTCCCTCGAAGAACCTCTAAACCGGTTACACTATCTCAAGTCCCTGCTCGGGCGCCACTGTAATGACACAAGTTTCCTCCGGTTGCTGGGGTGAGCTCACGGCGGCCAGTTTTGCAGAAAATTTTAATCTAGTGTCTGAGAGAGTAATAACACAGATTGTTTGTATGGTTATTCTTTATTTTCTTAGATGAATACGTCCTTTCCGTGGCGTTGTGGGATACATGGATAAGTTCTCTACTAGTCCGAAATGAAAAGACCGGAGACTTGAAAAAGTACTCCCTTGTTTCTGGCCGAATCCTTTATTGTTTCTGCTCGAGTTCTTTATAGGAGACCCGGATAAGTACTCCCCCTGTTAGCCCTATAACTATATGTAACTACCTATGGGGTTGTTTCAATGGTCTCAAAATGATTTTGAATACCGAGTTATTTTCGTTATCTTAGCGGGTTAAATACACCGTGCCCAATAGCTTCGGACACTTCAAGGGGTTCATAGGTTCTCCGAGGGTTAACTTCTAGCGGTCCCAAGAGTTACGGACACTTCAAGGGGCTCTTAGAAGATTAAATTTCAAAAGGCCCAAGAGTTACGGACACTTCAAGGGTTACAGACGGGTTAATTTCTTGCGGTCCCAAGAGTTACGGACACTTCAAGGGGTTATCAGAGGGTTAACTTCAACGGGCCCAAGAGTTGCGGACACTTCAAGGGTTCTTAGAGGGTTAAATGCCAACGGTACCAAGAGTTACCGACACTTCAAGGGTTCCTGATGGGTTAATTCCGTTGGACCCAAGAGTTACGGACACTTCAAGGGGTTCCTAGAGGGTTAAATTCCAACGGTCCCAAGAGTTACGGACACTTCAAGGGTTCCTGATGGGTTATTTCCGGCGGACCCAAGAGTTACGGACACTTCAAGGGGTTCTTAGAGGGTTAAAATCCAACGGTCCCAAGACTTACGGATACTTCAAGGGTTCCTGACGGGTTAATTCCAGCGGACTCAAGAGTTACGGACACTTCAAAGTGTTCTTTGGGGTATAAATTCCAACGTTCCCAAGAGTTACAGATACTTCAAGGGATCCTGACGGGTTAATTCCGGCGGACCCAAGAGTTACGGACACTTCAAGGGGTTCTTAGAGGGTTAAATTCCAACGGGCCCAAAACTTACGGGCACTTCATGGATTCTGAATGGGTTAATTCCGGCGGGCCCAAGTGTTACGGACACTTCAAGGGTTCTAAATAGGTTAATTCCGGCGGGCCCAAGAGCTACGGACACTTCAAAGTTTTTACACGGCGCGAGTCAATGCTGACTGACCCGAGAGTTACAAACACTTGATGTAAACAACAACGAGGGTCGCTTACAAAGTTAGGGGAAATTATTGTTCATTTATTTATTAAATATTTAATGTTAATATTTTAAGAGTATTTTATTAATTTTAATTCATTCTAAATTTATTTTAATTCACTTTAGTTCATTTTAATTCATTTTCATTTATATTACATCTACTGTGTGGAACGATATTGAAGGGAATGAGATAGCCGACGAGCTTGCTCGAGGGGGGTCACAGTCGTCCAGTCTTCTGATTGAGAGATCTGTGAAACCCCCTATTAGCTATTTCATTGGCAGAATCCGTGCGTTCTATTGCGAGGTAGTCGGCAACAGATGGCTAAGGGAACCTGCATGCAGAATCTCTAAATCTATCTGGCCAGAATTCTCTCATAAAAGAACGTCTTCGCTGCTGGATCACAACAAGAGGGAGATTAAGATCGTTGTGGGGATCATTACTGGTCACTGCAAAGTTAGATCTCTCACTTCTAAGTGGGACTCCAGTGGAGAGGATTACTGTCGTCTATGTGAGGATGAAGAAGAAGTGGAAACAATTGAGCACATCCTTTGCAAATGTCCATCGCTGATCAGCAGAAGACATAAACAGTTTGGATGTTATGAAATTGATAATCTAGTCTTCTTCTCCAAAATAGACCCTAACCTAATTCTAGGCTTTGTCAAAAAATTGACTTGGCTAAAATAATGTCTCTTCCGCTTCCGCTCCCTCCTATTCTGACTACCTCTCTCTCTACTCTTCCACTATCTTTTCTTCTCTCTCTTTATAGGTACACCTATACATAATGGATGATCACAATGGACATAGTCTCCGAGTGGACGGTTGTTACAACAGCCGTACATCCCAAACCTAACCTAACCTACTGTGTGGAGAAAAACGAGAGTATCGACTTTTGTCGTCACAGTGTTCATAACAGAGATGGAAGATTCCTGTTATAAAATTTCATGGTATTCGGATCATAATTGTGACCTCTAGAGCGACAAGAAAAGCAGACAAGAATAATTCTTTGGTCCATTTCATCCCCTAAATATTAACGGATCATTACCAAAAATAATAGGGGTCTACATGAAAATTTTCGTGAAGATTGGTCTATAACCTGTATAGTCTGTATCGTGTTTACAAACTACAATGGACAGACGGACGTATACGCATGTCTAGATCGACTCAGCTAGTCGAGATATGTCTCGCTAGTCGGTCTATGACCAATATTTCGCGGCGTTACATACTCATGGGGCTGCACAAAGATATAATAACCTGTTAGTCATACAGGATTATGAAACAAGGAGACAAGAATTTGAATCATATAAATTATGCTTGGAGTAGCAATTTGAGAGCTTTATTTTGAAATAGTCTGTACGGAGTTGCCAGGCTGCAATTAAGATTTTTGAGCAAGCAAATCAAGAATCTGTAGTTGAAGCCGATATACTAACTAGGCGGCTCAATATGTCAAACATAATTGTCAGTGGTTTGCTTAATGGCATCACGAGATTGATAGACCCTACTACTACTTATACTTATGGCATTAGTTTGCACCCTGCTGACATTAATCACTGCTGCTGCATCTCAAAATACCTCTCGGAGCGATTTTATATACCTCGGTACCGCCATAAACAAAACAAGGACATCAGCTGTGAAATTCAGAGGAGAATTTTTTTGGAGTATGGTCTGAGTAAGCTGTTGTATGGATCTGAGACATGGGCGCTTGCGACAGTAGAAGAATCTGCTTTTGGAGTGTTTGAGAGAAAATTCTCCGGAAAATCTATGGGCTGATCTGAGTCGATGGTGAATATCGCCGTCGAATGAACCATAATATACCATCTATTCTCGGACATCGACGTATTCAGACGGATCGAGCTGCAGTGACTACGTTGACTAGGCCATCTTGTGAGAATGGATGAAGATGCCCCAGCTCAAAAGGCAAATGAAAGCGAACCAAGTGATGGTTCACGCAGAAGGGGAAGGCAACGAATTCGATGGAAAGATCAAGTAGACGACAACATCTCGGAAAATGGGCTTTCAAATTGGATGAGATTCACACAAGAACGATGCTCACAAGGCCAACACGCCTGGAAATCTTTTTTTACGATCGGCTTATGGAACAACCGTTCTGTCATAAGCCAGCTAAGTAAGTATTGTGTGTGTTTTAGATGTTTTGCAGTCCTCTATACATTTTAATATTAATCTGTAAGAATCTTACGGATTTTTGTTCGAATTTCTAGTATTTTTATCACCTTACCGCCTTCTCTTAAAACATTTAGCTCTTCCTTAAAACGTTATAGAAGTGATTTCTACGATTACTTTAACCTCAATTCGTCTTATATAAGAATAACTAATTTCACCATTTAAATAATTATAACTATACTAAATTATATTTTTTATTTTATATTAATGTTAGAGATATTATTACAAGATGATTAAGCCTGTAGCTTGAATTTAGGGATTGAGAGTAGATACAACAAATAATCTAATTATAATAAAAAAATGTTTTCAAAGTACCCGGGTTCTGACCCCCTCCAACCGTATAGACGTCATGATATTATTAAGCTAATACATTGTTAGTTTAAAGTTTTTGGAGTTGTCCATATTTTGTTGTTTTGTGAATCCCGCTTGACCCTTTGGGCTAGATTCTCGTATACGAAAATAAAGTGAAAATTTAAATAGATTCTAATTAACTTCATCTCCAAAATCCACTTCATGCTGCAGTATTTTCTTCTTGATGAGTCGCCGCTTTTGCAGATTACTGCACAGGCGTACCGAAAAGAAGTAAATAAATTCGATTAAACTCAAACTGGAAATACCCATGAACAGGCCAAAAATTCCGCCACAATTAGCTATCAGCGTGGTAATGCCGTACATAACGGTACGTTTAATGGCAGTGAATTGGGGTTCCTTGAAGTACACAGACAAACGGGCAGCACGGCCACTAAAAATATCAACAACAACAAAAAAGTTATTAATTCATATGTCAATTGAGAACATTAACATCATACTACTTACTCATCATGTTCATAACTATCTCTTTGCGCCAAGACTGGCATCCAAAATTTGGCACATCCACATTTGCTTATCGTGTAATTGGCCAAACATTCCGTTTGACAATTACTCTGGGAATAGGATTTGAAATAACGCAAATAGCGTTCATCATTGAAATAGCACTGTCTCCTGAAAATTTTATTATGTTTTTATTAAAATTCAACAAAAATTGTCTATTCACCTTGGCTGAATAGAAATTATTTAATTAACCCAGGCTGAATAAGATTTTCTATAGGAAATTTTCAATTCAGCCTTGCTGAATAAGGTTTTCCATAGGAAATCTTCAATTCAGCCTGGCTAAATAAGGTTTTTGAGGAAATCTTCAATTCAGCCTGGCTGAATAAGGTTTTCCATAGGAAATCTTCAATTCAGCCTGGCTGAATAAGGATTTCCATAGGAAATCTTCAATTCAGCCTGGCTGAATAAGGTTTTCCATAGGAAATCTTCAATTCAGCCTGGCTGAATAAGGTTTTCCATAGGAAATCTTCAATTCAGCCTGGCTGAATGAGATTGTCCATAGGAAACCTTCAATTCAGCCTAGCTGAATAAGATTTTCCATAGGAAATCTTAAATTCAGCATGGCTGAATAAAGTTTTCCATAGGAAATCTTCAATTCAGCCTGGCTGAATAAGGTTTTCCATAGAAAATTTTTAACTCAGCCTGGCTGAATAAGGTTTTCTATGGCAAATCTTCAATTCAGCCTGACTGAATAAGGTTCTCAACAGGAAATCTTCAAATCAGCCTGGCTGAATAACGTTTTCTATAGATAATCTTCAATTCAGCATGGCTGAAGAATGTTTTCTATAGGAAATCTGTAATTCAGCCTGACTAAATAAGGTTTTCCATAGGAAAGCTTTAATTCAGCCTGGCTGAATAAAGGCTTTCTATAGGAAATCTTCAATTCACCCTGGCTGAATATTTTTCTTTATGAAAATTCTATTCAGCCCGGCTAAATAATGTTTTCTATGATAAAACTTTTTTTCAGCCGAGTTTATGCTCTGAAAATCTTACTTATCTGGCCCAAATTGATGTAAATTTTCTGTGGACGTAACGTATTGTGGTAAAATTGAAACCAAAACCTCATCGTCATGGGATACCAAAATGTAATTGCCTGTGGTTAGAGGTACACTTTCAGGCGAATTGAGAAAAACCTGTATTGAAAAAAAATATATTACCGATGAGTATTAAGTATAATCGAATCGTAAACCTACCTTGTAACCCTGTTTAAAGGTCCGACAGGTATAATCAAAATTATGTTCAAAGCCCATCATAAAAACAAACAGACCATTACGGGCTGATGACAAAACCGATCTTTGCGGATAGGCATTGAAGCCTTGATCAACATAACCATCATCCAGAGACCAATTGCCGGTCACATCTTTATATTGCGGCAATTCCGTGTCGAAATAATTGTTGTAATTGATTACGGTTTTATCCGAATAGCTGAGATAACTGGAGAGAGGAAGGTTATTAAAAAAATAAAAATGTACATAACCTCACATGACTCAAAAGTTTCTTTAGAAAAAAATATAATCAGCCAGGCTGAAAAAAGAGTTTACTTATAAAGTCTAACATTGGTCTAACTAATCAAAATTTAAATTTTGAGGTTATGTGTGATATTTTTGTTTTTAATATTTTGAATTACTTTGGATCACGGTAGATATCCTTGGGATGTAAGCCATTAAACTGATAACAAATTCCCTCATCGGTCAGGACATATTTAAAGAGGTAATGGCAAAAATAGAAACGGCCATTCCATTTACAAAACGGCAATGTGGTATTGGGTACCAATGCCAAATCCACCAGGGTTTGGGGTACATCTACCTCTAGGTTTTTGGGCATATACGGAGAATATTTATCCAAAACTTCACTTTCACAGATTTGCAGAGTTGCCACGAATTTTTGAATTCTATTGAAAATAAAAAATAAATCATTACTATTATTATTATTTTGACGGATCCACTTACTCTTCATCGGTTAAATTGCCGGCATTTTTAAAACTTTCGTATTCCTCGATTTCGGACTGGATCTTCTCGGCAACTTTTGTAAAATCAAAATCTTCATCACGATTCATTTTGATTTCCGGGCAAATGGTAATGGTGGGAAAGGGTATTTTACTAACCGGCACCAGGGTTTCATCGAAGCCCAAAATAACCGGTGAATCCAACCATTTCAAATAGGTATCCCACATCAAGGACATGGCAAAGTAAAATGAGATCAGCATCAGGACAATCCAATAAAATCTAGGAATAGACACAAACACACACACATAAAAATTTGTAATTTTGTCACATTTTCAGTTGTTGTTGTATTCACTTTTCATAAAACGGCCGATGTACTTCAAAAATATAACGTAATCCATGCACGGAAGTACTTTTCGAATATTCAGCCATAAGACCTTGACAGGCCGACCATCTTGTACCATATTTGATACGGGATTTAATAATAATTTCACTTGGCACATCACTGAGAGCTTGCGAAGTTATACTCATGTGTCGTGCCGGTGGTGTTGGCAACGATAGATAATCCGGATCAGGTTGTGGAAAATGAACCGCACCATTTTCAGCTATAAACATTTTGAACTGTTCGTAATAACGCGTACCGAGGCTATTAAACATTTCTCCAAATTTGTTTCGCCTTTTATAGCTGGCCAAGGTAAGTGTGACGACAACAGAGCCCAGCGTGGAAGGTGCAACTGTGTGACATTCCAATTACACCCTTGCGTATACCCAAATGCAGACTTTGTTGCCACAGGGGAATACAACCAAATTAATTGTGTTGCCTCCATGCACGTTACATTAGGGTGGTTGAAGGTAATAGGGAAAAATAAAATGTGACACGAAAAAAATTTTAAACCGGCCAAATGAATAATTTCCCTATAGACGTGTTATTCAGCTTTTTTGAATTGATGACTTCTTTACAAAAATTGTACTCAGCCAAGTGTAATTGAACATTTCCTCACTAAAATTTAATTCAGCCGGGTTTAAATGTAGATTTTCTTACGAAAATCATAATCAGCCCAAGCTGAATTCAACATTTTGTTATGAAAATTGTATTCAGCCAGGCTGAATAGGAGAATTTCGTAACAAAAATTGTATTCAGCTCCGGCTGAAATAATATATTCTAACAAAAATTATTTTCAGTCAGCTGAATAGGAGATTTCCTTTTAAAAATTCTATTCGCCCAGGCTGAATAGAAGATTTTCTATTTAAAATTCAATTCAGCCCGGCTGAATAGGAGATTTTTCTATTTAAAATTCTAATCAGCCCGGCTGAATTTAAAATTT